CAAATTTTGTTTGGTAATGCCCGATACACAGTAGGACATTTTATGAAATTAAAGGTGCTATAAAAATTCAACTTGTTTCATGGTCAGACTGGATGACTGATGTGACTTTTACATATTGTGGATTTGTGCCCTGATTAGAGTTTCGAACATGGAAAAAGGAAAGACTGTTGTCCATTGACCCTTCACCAAACTTGACCATGTCTAAGGAAGATGTGATTGCACCAGAAAGGGTGTAAAAGGATATCATTTGGGCCAGAGTATTTCAGCCACAGAGAGAGACTGGACAGGCTGGATCCATTCTCCCAAGAGCAGAAAAAGCCGAGGGGCACCTGATCGAGGTGCACAAAGTTCTGAGGGGTATAGACTGGGTAGATAGGGAGAAACTGTTCCCTTTAGTAGAAGGGTCAATAATGAGGAGTCATAGTTTTTAGTAAGAACCAGAAGGTTTAGAGAGTACTTTGAGGATATTTTTCACCCAGAGGGTGCTGGGTGTCTAGATCTCACTGCCTAAAATGGTGGTACAGCCAGAAACCCTTGAGACATTGAGTAACTATTCAGCTTAACACCTGAAACACCAAAGCGTACAAGGCCATGGGCTAAGTGCTGGAAAATGGGATGAGAATAAACGAATGATTCATGACCAGCACAAGCACAATTAGCCAAGGGCTTCTTAGTGTTCTGTACAAACTTTAGATTCTATACCCTGTCTCTTCAAAATGACAGCTTGTCTGCTTAACACAATGACCTGCCCCTTTGGGAATTAGCCCATCTCTTTAGGATCATGGCCTGTCCCTTTAGAACATAAGAACTAGGATCAGAAGTAGGCCATTCAGCCCCTTGAGCCTGCTCCACCATTTAATTTGATCATGGGTGATCCCATTTCGACTTCAATTCTCCATAATCCTTCAGCCCCTTAGTAATTAAAATTCTGTCTATCTCCTCCTTAAATGTACTCGATGTCCCAGCACCCACAACACCCTGGGGGAGTGAATTCCACAGGTTCATGACCCTTTGAGGGAATGAATTTCTGCACATCTCTGTTTTAAATTTGCTAAGGTCAAAAATCACACAACACCAGGTTATAGTTCTACAGGTTTATTTGAAGACACAAGCTTTCGGAATCTCACTCTATGACCTCTCATTGTAGATTGTCCAACATGAGGAAACATCTTTTCTACATCCACTTTGTCAATCACCTTTAGCATGTTATATACCCCAATATTTCTAAACTGTAGTGAGTACAGGCCTAAACTGTCAATCTCTCTTCATAAGACAAACCCCTTATTTTTGGAATTAATCTGGTGCATTTCCTCTGAAGTGCCTCCAATGCAACTACATCCCTCTTCAAATAAGGGGAGCAAAATTGTATGCAATACTCCAGATTTGGTCTCACTAATGCATTGTAATATTGCAGTAAGACTTCCCTACTTTTATATTTATTTATTTAGCAAAAAATGCTAAATTTCCATTTGCCTTTCTTATTTCTTGTTGTACTTGCATTCTGACGTTCTGAAATTCATGCATTGGGACACCCAGATCCCTTTGCAGTGAAGCACTCTGAAGATTCTTTCCATTTAGATGATAAATTGCCTTTCTGTTCCTCCAAGAAAATGGATAACCTCATTTCTATTTCTTCATTGCAACTTATTTTCCCACCTATTTTATTGTCATCTGCAAATTTGGCTACAGTACATTTTAACACTGCAACCAAGTCATTAATATAGAGTGTGAACAGTCAGGGCCCAAAGACCAAACACTGTGACGCCATCAGTTACTACTTGCCAACCAGAAAAAGATCCATTTATCCTGACTCTTTACTTTTGTGAAGATGTCATAGGAATGCTACACAGGAACACTTGGTCAGCAGTGTGATGGCCTGAGATCTCCAAAGACTTTGAGGATCTCATCACCAATTGCAAGACCTGCACCATCCCCGGACCAGAGCAATAAGAATGGTTGATAACCACCACATTCCACACTAGGCTATGGGATGGTATGGCCACTGATCTATTTATATTTGATGGAAGGTTTAAGCTCATTGTCATTGATTATTTCTCCAGATGGATAGAGGTTAAGAAGCTTCATAACACAGGTACAGATGCTGTTATCAGAGTCTGGCATGAGATATTTGCAACACATGGTATCCTTGACGTGCTGGTTCGGATAATGAGCCACGGTTTGCTAACGAGTACTTCTGCTAATTTGCTGCCTGTTCTGGATTGAAACATATTACAAGCTGAACACCATAGCCACCCTCAAAAAGGGAAGTCAAGTACAGGCTCAAGTCTATTAACTCACTCTTGAAGAAGAATACTGTACACAACAGATCATATAATACAATGGGCACCATTATGTGAGGTGGTTGTCACATCTAAGATTAGGGATGTGAACGTGGAAGGCATGGTCATTAGAGGATTTGCAGACCATCAGAGATTGTATATTGATTGTTCTGCCAAAGCAATCATACAAAGAAATCACAAGAACCTCATCCCTTTATGAGTTTAATGGTCTATCATAGATCAATTGGACTGAATCAATGTGTAACTGGACAATGCAAGGGAACCACAGACCTCAGATTTGTCAGAAAGAGAATCAAAGTCAATGGTCTCCCACCCAGCAAACTAGCAGTCTTCTGATTCCAAAGAGAATGTATTCCAGGAGAATAGTGAAACCTTCAGATGAACTGAATTGTTGAATCAGAGACAAAAACAAAAATTGCTGAAGAAACTCAGCAGGTCTGGCAGCATCTGTGGACAGAAAGCAGGGTTAACATTTTGAGTCCAGTGACCCTTCTTCAGAATCTTCTTATGCTTTCCCTCCACCAATGCTGCCATACCTGAAGAGTTTCTCCAGCAATTTCTGTTTTTGTTTCAGGTTTCCAGAATCCGCAATTCTTTGTTTTACTTGATTGTAAAATCAGTGACTTTGGGAGATGGGGTTGTGGTAAAATGTCAAGAGTAATGATGGGGAAAAAAAAAGCTTGGGGAGAATTGTTGTGCATGGGTCGAAATATTTTTGAAAGAGTTAATGCCAAAGAGTGCTATATGCTCCACGCAATATGTGAAACTAAACATCTAGCCATCTCAAAGTTTCTATAACATTGTAAATCATATCAGTGTAATCTAGGATTAGTTACTAACATGTAATAAACTATATATTGTTAACTACAAGAGACCTTTCCAGTTAGGGTAGGAAATGATCTTCCTCTACCACACTAGACCAAGCAGGCCCTATAGTTCCTACACTTAAATGGGATGGTTACTGCAATCTTCATCATACAATGTAGTGAGCTGGCATGACCACACAACTCATATGAATTTTAAGAATCCAACTGTATAAAAATTCTGAAATAAGTATGTTCTATTCAGCAACGCACAAAAATTTCTGTTTAGAAAGGAATTCCAATCATTTCTAATCTACAATACTTCCTCAGGAATAGAGTTTCTATTTGAAATCTAGAATCACATTTATTTTAAAAAAAACAACAGCATCATTTTCAGCTCCTTTCTTCTGACCTTTAATTGATTCCACGATTTGCTCAAAATATTTAACCTCTAATTGTCCTCGAGAAGACACAGCAACAGAGATCTGGTAGCCTTGGGGAAACACAATTAAACATACTTGCGCTTCAATAATAGAATAATAAATTCTGTGTAACATAGGATAATATTAATGCCCTAATTAAAAAGTTAATCCCCTGACTAGCTATAAATAACACCAAGTAAGATTAATTCGAAATGGTCATAAATTTGAATACATAGTACAGGGAATTTAGGAAGAATATGGCATATTTAATTTGAGGCTTGTTATCATAAGCCAGAAAAAAACACCAATCTTTCCTAAATATAAATGTTGGGTATACTAATGCTATTTTAATGGTGTTACATGTTACATTTAATTCTGAATTTAAAAATGCCAATTTTTGACTTGTGTGCTGGAAGAGCAGAAGTATCCAATAGCTTAATAGTCAGGAGACACCTTCTGGCATTGTTTTAGAACTGCACCTTAAGAATTTATGAAATTCTACAGTAACTTCAAACCCTATGAAAATCCACAGATACTGCCATTGTAGGTAAGGATTTAAAAATCAGAGGATATTGTGCATTATTTTTAAATACAATAAAATAAAGTGGAATAAGTCATTTAACTACCCACTTGAATTTCCTATCCGAGGAACACCGATAAAAAACTTCAAAGCAAAGCTAACGATTGTGATGTTAAGATTGTAGCTAAATTTAAAAGGAATAGTAATGTCAATTATTTCTTAGCTGGTGTATGGAAGGAAAAATAATAGTTCATCAGTGTAAGGTTATGGATTTGATCAAAACTATTAATTTGTAATATGAATGGTTCATATACAAAATAACCATGACTTGGTATCTAGGAGTACATTTTAGAGAAATCATTTTATTCAAATATTTTGATTTTCTAAATGTAATAAGTTTTCCCAGGTTAACCATTAATGCCCCAATTATAGATTTTGAGAAATAAGTTTATTATTAGCCAGAACAAATAGCTCCACAGCAATCAAAAAGGTAGAAAAATGGTTAGTAACACTCATTATCAATTAATATTTGACAGATTTCATGAGAACACTGCCATATATTTAATCATCTGGAATTATTTTTGGCAGCTTGATTGATGCTAACTTTGAGGCAATTTTATGTTATGAATATTGGTGCAATATTGCAGTTATCCAGCTACTACAAATATGATTTTAGGAGATCAATTGAGAACTACTTGCCAGTTTGTTATGATAGTGTCTGACACAAGTCAAATTATTTTCCTACAATAGACACCCATATGCACACATTTCAATGCCTTAATTGATTCACAGAAATGTATTCACAACTTTATACAACGAACCTTAGAAATCATAAGCTACCCAAGTACATTTTAATTGTGAGCTTTGCAGATTGGGTAGTGTTAACTGACCAATACTTGAATGTTGACTGAACAATATACCCCTTCTGAATCCCCTTCTGAAGATGGTTTCTTACCATTCACAAGCCAGGTAATCCGAGGATGAGGTTTGCCATCCACAGAGCACTGTAGGATAAAATCCTGACCTTCGCTCACTCTGCATTCCTTCAATACACTAGTGAAAAATGGTGGTACCTCCTCTTCCTTGGAGCCTTCAATTGATCAATCAAAAATAGTCCATCATATTTTGTACACAGACTCTGTACATATGCATACATTAGGTGTATAATTTAGCCCTCCCACAATTATTTCAGAAATAATTTACTTGGTTAACACTTCTCATTCTGATAAAGTATTGCTGTAGGAATCACTGTAGTACTGGCAGGAAGTAATGTTTAAGTTGCCTCATTTCAGTTGATTGATAGCTTCCTGAATTCAATTAAAGCCTTCAAATTAAAGTGGAATACGATATGATAAGTTTAATGAATTTGTCAGAAACAACTTTTATTCCTAAGCAGAAGCATTAACCAATTTATTTTAAGTAGCCCATCTTACCTGAAGCAAGCATTCATGCAGATATACCCCACAGCATTAATGTAAAGGACCAAATAAGTTGTCTGCCATTTAATTTTATTTGGGAAATATGCAATCATACGACTGCGCTGTTAAATCAAGAGGCCTTGTCTGTAGTTTAGAAATTATTGTTGTCAACATTATTACATGAACAGATTTTCCCAAATGAGAAATTCATTTGTTGTTTTAACGCATGAAGTGGAGGTGCTGGCATTGGACCGGTGTGGACAAGGTTAGAAGTCAGATGACACCAGATTACAGTCCAACAGATTTATTTGTAATCACAAACTTTCGGAGTGTTACGCCTTTGTGAGAGAGAAACACACAGAACATAGAATTTATAGGCAGAGAGATCAGGGGGCAGAAAGATCAAAGGATCATACAAATGATGTGAGTGGAGTGTCAACAGGTGACAGGTGACCAGGAGTGTCAGACGCTGTGAGTAAAGTGTCAACAGGTGAATAACAAGCCAAGGGACGATATATAATCCGATTAAATGAGGCAGAGAGATAATTACAAAAAATTAAAAATAAACAGGTGCTGGAGACAAACCAAATAGCTGGAATAACACGATAGGTATAAGAGTCACATGCCGAGAGTCTAACCAAAGTAATAAGTAATCCAAAACTGTACAAACTAATTAAGGTAGAGAGATCATAACAATTTATCAAGGTGACAGTGACAAAACAGGACAGTAAGGAAGATTTTACAGACACAGAACTGTGTGGTGAGGTCACATGCAGTGTGACATGAACCCAAGATTACAGTTGAGGCCATCTTCACGGGTATGGAAAGTGGATATCAGTTTCTGCTTGGCGATTCTGCGTTGTTGTGTATCTCGAAAGCCACTTTGGACGACGCTTACCCAAAGATCAGAAGCTGAATGTCCTTGACTGCTGAAGTGTTCCCCCACTGGGAAGGAATATTCCTGTCTGGAGATTGTTGTATGACATCCATTCATCTGTTGTCGTAGCATCTGCATTGGTCTCACCAATATACCATGCCCCAGGGCATCCTTGCCTGCGGCGTATGAGATAGACAACATTGGCCGAGTCACACATACGAGGTGGGTGATGTTCCCATGTGTGATGGTAGTGTCAATGTTGACGGTCTGATGATCTGTCAATGTACTCATCGATCACCAGTTCTGACATGCCACAGCAAAAAAACTGTAATGACCTCCTCGGAAGACAGACACAGGATATGACCGATAGAGTGCCCTTCGTCATCCAGTATTTCCCTGGAGTGGTCAAACTATGCCATGTTCTTCACAGCCTTCAACATATCATTGATGACGACGAACATTTTGCCAAGATCATCCCTACGCCTCCACTTCTTGCCTTCAAACAACCACCAAATCTTAAACAGACCATCATTTGCAGCAAACTATCCAACCTTCTGGATCACATCGACCACAACACTATACAACCCTGTCACGGCAGCCTCTGCAAGATATGTCATCCAACACGTACAAGACAGATAGTCATGCGACCCGGCAAACGTTGTCTATCTCATATGCTGCAGGCAAGGATGCCCTGAGGCATGGTATGTTGGCGAGACCAAGCAGATGCTACGACAACGGATGAATGGGCACTGTACAACAATCGCCAGACAAGAATTTTCCCTCCCAGTTGAGGAACACCTCAGCAGTCAAGGACATTCAGTCTCCGATCTTCAGATAAGTGTCCTCCAAGGCAGCCTTCGAAATACACAACAACGCATGAATTGCCTAGCAGAAACTGATAGCCAAGTTCCGTAAGGATGAAGACGGCCTCAACTGTAATCTTGGGTTTATGTCACACTGCATGTGACCCCATCACACAGTTCTGTGTCTGTAAAATCTTCCTTACTGTCCTGTTTTGACACCGTCACCTTGATAAATTGTTATGATCTCTCTACCTTAATTAGCTTGTACAGTTTTGGATTACTTATTACTTTGGTTAGACCCTCGGTATGTGATTCTTACACCTATTATGATATTCCAGCCATTTTGTTTGTCTCCAGCACCTGTTTATTTTTAATTTCTTGTAATTATCTCTCTGCCTCATTTTATCGGATTATAGGTCATCCCATGGCTTGTTATTTAACTGTTACTTTACTCACATCATCTGACACTCTTGATCAGCTGCAGAAACCTATTATTTGGCCTGTCGACACTCCACTCACACCATTTGTATGATCCTTTGATCTCTCTGCCCATTGATCTCTCTGCCAATAAATTCTATGTTCTGTGTACTTCTCACTTCACCTGGCGAAGGGGCTATGCTCGGAAAGTTTGTGATTACACATAAACCTGTTGGACTTTAACTGGTTTCATCTGACTTCTGCCGTGACTTTCATGCAAGTATTGGCCAAATGATCACTAATGTATCTACAAATATAGTAAATCGTGTCATGTAATCACATCAATACTCATCAAGAAACATGACCAACAGGATATTCTTTGGTTACATTTTTGTCTGTCTGAACTGTAATTATTCCATTAGTGAGTGACTTTGTTCAAAATGTATGCACCAAAATTAGCAGATTAAAGCAGTGCTGGTGTGGCTGAAGTTATGAAAACATTTGGAAAAACAGTCAATAAACACTGAACTGAATGGTCATTTCCACTAATATTGGCACACAAATTAACAATCATCACAAGAAATAATTTATCCTGAAAGGCACACATTTTAACTGAAGTGAGAGCATAAGAAAACCAGCAATATAAGAAATATTAACATATATTTGCTGTAGTAATAGCCTTTATTCTTTGGAGCTACTAGTAGGCTAAAAAATCTACTGAACCAAAATTATGATTTGAAGGAGAATATTCAGAATTGGCATGCACATGGAATTACCTCAGTTTGTATCCAAAGGCGAATGTGCGGCAGGACTTCAAGTGGCAGCTACTGAAGTAATTACCATTTATAAAATCTACAATTCACCACCAAGCATTGACCATTCTATACTAATTTCTGTCTTATAAATTATAATAATTGCTCATGACTGTTCAGCTATCTTAATATGGCATTGCTGTAAAGGCAAAGTCTCGAAGTTCTCAAATGAACTTCAGTCCCTTTAGTATTCAGGAGCAAGGACAGAATGATAGGCTGATCCAGGTAGCAGTGCACTGGGGAGACAAGTTGTATGTAAGTCCATTGCAAAGGGCACAAGAGAAGATATCAACGATCACCCTTGTTACGGCCAGGAGAAGGACAAGTGGTCTCACAGACTCCGGAAAGAAAATGTAGGTCTCCCATGTCAATTTTCTTCCCCAGTTATGACACCTTGTCAGACAGTCCTGGCTACCAAACTCTCCAGTCATCTGGTTTTTGGCAGGCAGTTTCTGTGCCTCATGGTTTTTCATCACTCCCTAGCAGGTGGAAATTCATTGGACAGCATTTAACTGAGGCTTGCAAGCTAAATAATCTGTGCCTCAATCCTGGAGAAACAGACTAAAATTCTACTTCCCCAACCAAGGTTCAACTAGAACTAAAGTTAGGACTAAAGTGATAGTCACAAGGATTTTGTAGATTTTCCTGAACTGAGTTGGAACATAGAAGTGCAAGTTTGGCTCCTGAATTGGAAGCACGGAGTCATTCCCAGGGCAGCTGCTGACTGGAGGCAGGACTGTCACTGCCAGAAACAGTTTGGAAGCTGCCCCATGGGATGCCTGATGCTAGGCAGTCTGTTTAAAAGGCTTACCTTTGTGCCTTGGATACAGTTACAATAAAAGAAACAACAAAAATACTTCTCTAGCCCTCACTCCTTACGCACTCTCACACTCCTAATTCCCCATTAATGCTATCACATGCCATCCCATGTCCTACCAACCCCAAATGGTCCCTTATACCCTCTATGCTAACTGATGCTCCTCTAACATACTCACGGATCCTCAAACCCTTAATACTGACCTATATTCCCCCATCCACCCCATGTCCACTTATACCCTCTATGCCTACCCATACCCCTTTATCAAGCATCCATCATCCTTACATCCTATGTATGAACTTGCCCAGTATCTACCATGGGCAGACCTAGGAGCCATGATGAGATGAAATAAAATAAAGGTCCAAGTATCTATTGCAGTCAACAGTTTTTAAAAACTCTCACTATCATTACTTAAATTCCTTTAAGTACTTAATCCCTTATAGAAACATACATATGTCTTAACAGTTCCACATATAAGATAGCTGATCATTTTATGACACTTGGAGCAGTCAATAAAACTGAACTTACAGAAGCAGAACCCTCCAACCCCGGCACATTGTGGAAGCAGTCAAGCAGCACTAATCCTCATGAGGAAAAACAGTGAAAGAGAAAACAACTGCAGGTTGATGTCTATGTTTTAAAACTTTAAAAGGCAGAAATTTAAATGACGACAGTTTAAAGGTTGCATAGAGCTTATCCAGTGTACATGAATATTCATATTTACTCTTCATATACCCAAATATGTATCTGACCTATCCCAAAGAGCACCTGACCTCTCTCCAAAAGTAGTGTTTTATTCTGCAAGTGCAACATTACTTGTCCAAATAACTCCTGGCAGCTTTAGACATTGAATGACTAATATTCACAAATTGTGTTTTCCGAAATTTTGGAAATTTGAAAATTGGTCTGTTTGAAGCCATGGGCATGCCTCCAGGAAACATAGCTGCGCATATTACAAACTACCCCTGATTTCTCTCCTACTCCAGTCACCCCTACACCCCAAACTCCATGGCAAAAATGCTGGGTTCAGTGGCAGAACCTCTGGAATTGGGGCTGTAATGCTACGCTGGCTAAGGCACAGCCCTATTCCATCTCTGTGAAAATTCATGCCATAGAACATTGAAGCACAGAAGAACGGCCATTCATCAAATGGGGTCTGAATTGTCAGAAATGGAATTATGCAGCTTAATCCCAATTTCCAGCTCCTGTTCCATAGCCCTGTAGGACACTAACACTAGACATGTGTATCTCTATGTGTAGTGATTGCAACAAGGTCAGCTAGGTGGACATCATAGAATATGATTTCCCTGACTGGGGCAATGAATCTGGTCCAACCAGGGAGATCTGGCTGATAGGTAAGAACAGGAATGTCAGAGGTTCTGTTCACAAGAGCTGGCACTGAGGTAGCCCGATCAGGGTCAAGGACTCTCCAAATGTAGATATGGGTGGTTTGGTGATGGGATACCAGCCTCTGTGGAGTTATTTCACTATGCATTTATTAACGTGATGAGATTGCCTATATTGCTGCATTGTTATGAATATAGGGTCATAGATATTTGCATCAGTCCAATTTTACACATTAGTTTTGAACTCTGAATCAAACGGTTTTTTTGACATTTCCGCGTGCATTAGCAGTTAAGATCATAAGATATAGAAGCAGAGTTAGACCATTTGGCCCATCATTCGATCATGGCTGGTATATTTCTCAATCTCACTCTCCTGCCTTCTCCCCTTAACCCTTGATCCCCTTCCTAACCAAAAACCTATCTATCTCTGTCTTAAATACACTCAATGACTTGACCTCCACAGCCTTCTGTGACAATAAGTTCCACAGTATCACTAGCATCTGGCTGAAGAAATTCCTCCTCATCTCAGTTCTACAGGGTCATCCATTCACTCTGAGGCTATCCCCTTGAGTGCTAGTCTCTTCTCCTAGTGGGAACATCTTCTCCATGTCCACTCTATCCAGGCCTCTCAGTATTCTGTAAGTTTCAATCAGATCCTCTCCACCCTCCCCCCACCCCTGCATGCTTCTAAACTTTACTGAGTACAGACCCAGAGCCCTCATCTGCTCCTCATATGACAAGCCCTTTATCCATGGGATCATTCTTTAAACACCCTGTGGACCCCTTCCAAGGCCAACACATCCTTCCTCAAATATGGGTCCCAAAACTGCTCACTATATTCCAAATGCAATATGATAAGAACCTTATACAGTCTCAGCAGCACATACCTACTCTTGTATTCTAGCCTTATTGAAATGAATGCTAACATTACATTTCAATTCCTGATTGCCAACTGAACCTGATTTAGGACTCCTAAGTCCTTTTGTGCTTCAGATTCCAAAGCCTTTCCCCATTTAGAAAAAAGTCTACATCTCTATTCTTCCCCAAAGTGCATAACCTCACATTTTCCCACATTGTATGTCATCAGGCCAGGGCAGGCTATCCGTAATCCCCTTGTTTACCTACCCCTGTCTTATATCTTTGATAGGAAGGATGTTGTTAAACTTAATAGGGTGCAGAAAAGATTTACGAGGATGTTGCTGGGACTGGAGGGTTTATAGATGGAGGCTGAATAGGCTGGGGCTTTTTCCACTGGAGCATCGGACACTGAGGTGACCTTATAGAGGTTTGTAAAATCATGCGGGGCATAGATAGGGTGAATAGCCAAGGTATTTTTCCGATGGTGTGGCGAGTCTAAAGCTAGAGGGCATAAATATAAGGTGAGAGGAGAAAGATTTAGAAGGGACCTGAGGGGCAACGTTTTTCATGCAGAGGATGGTGTGTGTATGGAACAAGGTGCCAGGGGAAGTGATGGAGGAACGTATAATTACAACTTTTAAAAGGCACCTGGATGGGTATATGAATAGGAAAGGTTTAGAAGGATATGGGCCAAATGCTGGCAAATAGGACTAGGTCTGATTACGATGTTGGTTCCGCATACATGAGCTGGACTGAAGGGTGTGCTTCCGTACTGTATGACTCTAGACTCTCTCTTTCTCTGGGCTTCAGTGGTGTTCCTCAGGGATCGGTGCAGTTTGTAATTCATATAAATGATTTGGATAAGAATTTAGGAAATGTGGTTAGTAAGTTTGCAGATGGTACCGAAATTGGTGGTACAGTAGGCAGTGAAGAAGATTTTCTAAGATTACAAAAGGTTCTTAATCAATTGGGCCAATGGGCCGAGGAGTGGCAGATCAAGTTTAATTTCGATAATGTGACGTGTTGCATTTTGGTAAGACAAACAAAGGCAATTAATAGTAGGGCCTTGTGGTGTATTGTCAAATAAAGAGACCTAGGGGTTCAGGTACATAGTTCCTTGAAATATGTGTTACTGGTAGACAGGGTGGTAAAGAACAAAAACAAAGTTGCTGGAAAAGCTCAGCAGGTCTGGCAGCATCTATGAAGGAGAAAACAGAGTTAACGTTTCGGGTCCGGTGACCCTTCCTCAGAACTGTGGTAAAGAAGGCGTTTGGCATGCTTTCCTTCTTCGCTCAGACCACTGAGTATAGGAATTGGGATGTCATGTTGCGGTTGCACAGGACATTGGGGAGGCCACTTTTGGAGTGCTGTGTACAGTTCTGGTTGCCCTGCTTAGGGAGGATATTATTAAATTGGAGAGGGTGCAGAAAAGATTCACAAGGATGTTACCGGGACTGGAGGGTTTGAGTTATAAGGAGAGGCTGGATAGGTTAGGATTTTTTTCACGGGAGCATAGGATGTTGACAAGTGACTGTATAGAGGTTTATAAAATCATGAGGGGCATAGATAAGGTGAATAACAAACGTCTTTTCCCGAGGGTAGGGGAGTTCAAAACTAGAGGGCATAAATTTAAAGTGAGAGGAGAAAGATTTAAAGGGGCGTGAGGGAAAACGTACTCACAGAAGGCGATTCATATGTTGAATCAACTGCCAGAGGAAGTGGTAGATACATGTATAGTTACAGCATTTAAAAGACATTTCACATGAATGGGAAAGGTTTAGAGAGATATGGGCCAAACACCGGTAAATGAGACCAGTTTAGTTTGGGCAACTCGGTCTGCTTGGATGAGTAGGACCGAAGGGCCTGTTTCCATGCTGTTTGACTCTACGATTCTATGATTCAAACTTCTTCCTCTCAAACTGCTGAGTGATTCTGTCATATTATGGCCACTGCCCTCTAGGGGTTCCTTCACCTTAAGCTCCCTAATCAAATCTGCCTCATTGAAGATCATCAAATCCAGAACGGACCGTTCCCTCGTGGGCTCTACCACAAACTGCTCTAAAAAAAAACCATCTTGCAGATTTTTCATTAATTCCTTTTCTTAGGATCTGCTACCAACCTGATTTTCCCAGTCCACCCACATACTGAAGACGCCCATGATTATTATAAGAGTACCTTTCTTACACTCCTTTCCTATCTCCTAATTTATTTTCTGCGGCACATCCTGACTACTACTGAGGGACCTGCACACAGCTCTCATTTGGCTCACTCTTCCTTTATTGTTCCTCAATACTATCCACACAGATTCTATGCTTTCCCACCCTATATCGATTCTTGTTATTGACTTAATTTAATTTCCTAGTATTAAACCAAGTATTGTGGGATCAAGTAACACACAGGCAAGACTAGGTAAAGATGGCATACCCGTTTCTGAACTGAGCATACATTAGTCAAATAGTTAGATTTTTAACAACAATCTGAAAGTAGGGGTCATTTTCTGGTGCTAGGTTAAGGCTTAACAAAAATCTTCTAAATTGATTTTGCAATCTAGTGTTATGGGATCTGATTGCATGACCTAACGTATGAACACAAGAATACTATTCCAGTATTACATGAACCTAATCCTAATCCTTCCTGTACTCTTAATAGCAATTTTAAAATAACATTTTGGGAAGTTACTTAATGGAACCAGGCTACTTGCCTGTTACACTCAATGTCCAGTTCCTGGAAATCTGGCCTCTGCGGTTTGTCACCGTGCAGCTGTATGAGCCACTATCTTCCATATTTACGCAGCTAATGCAAAGATGTTGAATCCCATCCTTTTCATACATTTCAAGACCACCTGTTCCTTTCAGTAAAACTCCATTTTTTGTCCACTTCACTTCTGGTTTTGGATTTCCTGTAACTGTATAACACGAACTTAAATCAAAAATCGTACTACAGTATATGAAATCTCAAGGGACGTTGAGAAAAACAAATAATAAATGTGTCACAATAACCCAACTGGATGATCATTTAAATCATTTTGGGAACCAACATATATAATTTGGAAAACAAGGGCAGGGGTTGCTATGCTACTGGCATTTACCACTTTAAATGTGTCGATGACCTGCAGTTATCAAATAAAAGCCACCACACTGAATCTCACAGACAGCTGTTCTTGAACAACTTTAGAAATAGTCTGTAGAGAATGGATTGCACTTTGCCCCAAAAAGTACCCAATCATTGACATCTAGTTCACTTGAAACAAATCAGCTCTTTTTAACTTGTCACTGAATGATGCCACAATCCAATATCATAGCACTCTCAAACTGCTAGCTGTATTTATCCAGGCAGGTCCAGAATGAGATGATCACATCAATTCTACTTTGAAATGAGCTAATAGCCCTTCTGTACATGCTTCTTTAGCTGAAATACCATTCCCTCTCCAGCAACGATCTCGTCATCATTTTCACATTTTATTCGTCTTGTTTTGGTACATGGGACACCTGTTCCTAATCCCAAAGCAGCAATACAAAGTAATTGAAAATGTTCAGAAAGTGCTTGCAAAGTCACTGTTGCCCCTAGTTATTGTAATTACTCAGATACCATACATGAATATGGCCGAGAGACACTATCAAACTGATGCAGTAAACGCTGCCATTCTTTTGTGAGTTTGTTGTCGAACTCCAAAATTCATTATTCATTACCTGCAAATAGATCTCACAGCGACTACAGAATTCATACTAACTGAATTAAGGTATAAAATTACCAAGTTTGTGAAAAATCAAATGCTATATCTCTTCTACACAACAAAAACTCTAACGGCTATTAATCTTTGAACATTTAATAATGAGGAGTCCCTAATCTGTTAATTGGTACATTATTCTACTCAATTCTTTCTAACAATCTTTTTGTTTTATATTTTACTTGGTGTAATTGATTGTAAAGTTTATGTCAATTTGGCATTTGACTGAAGTTCACTTTCAAATAAATAAACCTTTGATGATCACACCCATTGATTATGATGCAAGTGCCATGAGGACTTCATGCTACATGTTCACATGAATGATCCCCAGATCCAATTAGTGCTAATCACATTACTCATTGGCTGTATGCATCCAACAAGGATGAATATCCTGAGTCGCTGGCAATTATCCTCTACCTCTTAAAAGAGCAGAAACATTACTGCATGAGCAGGTGCTTAGAGTTGTGGTTGAAGATAATTTGGTCTGTTTAAAAAGACTGAAGAATGGCACAACAAAGGGAATGAGTTAGCACTAAAAAGTCTTCAGATGCTGCAAGGGAGGCCATGCTGGAGGAGATGCAAAGTAATAAAGATGTCCTGAGATTGTGCTGAACTGCACTGGGACATTGATCAAGCTGTGTCAATGGGCTGCAACTATTAAAGGTGATGATATGCTTAGTAACTAATTCTACTTCTCATGTCTCACTTCCTCTTCATCTAATAACCTTATCTGATTTAAGCTGCAATTGTTCTAAGAAACAGCCCTACCTCCCTTACTACAACACCTGTTGTGCCTTTCTCCTCTCAGATAGCCAATGAAAGCACATCCTGGTTAGGCACTTAAGAAAACCCAGGAAGCCAATGATGATAAAGGCACAGCTACATAATTTAATTTCTCACCATCAATCTTTGTTCAGATATTGATACCATGTGTTTTTTTAAAAGATGAAGTTGGTTGGCGTACTTGTGGATTCGGAGGCAGGATGTTAGAATTTGGTGTTTGTACCAAACGTTAGTAGAGTAGTAACACCGTTGACGGATTTGTTAAAGAAGAACATAAAATTTCGGTGGACAGAACAATGCCAGGAGGCAGTTGAGAATTTAAAAACAGTGTTAACCACCGCACCAGTTTTAGCCACACCATATTTTTTTGAAACCCTTCAAAGTCACCATCACCAAGCGATGTAGGTAATGGAGCTGTGCTGTTATAGGAGGCTAATTGTGGAATTTAAAGGCCAATTAATTATTTTTCAAAAAAACTCAATATCCACTGTAAAAATTTCAACTAATGAAAAAGAGTTATTGAATTTGGTAATGGCCTTACAGTATTTTAATGTTTATGTTGCAAACAATGCATCAGAGACATTTGCATATAACAATCGCAATCCTTTGACATTTCTGGAAAGATTTAAGGACAAGAACACCAGATTATTTCGTTGGAGTCTCATATTACAAACATTTAATTTACAGATTGTACATGTTGTGGGTTGTGAAAATATCATCATGTTTGCTTTATCATGAGTTTAAAAGAAAAATGTTTATATAAGATAAAAATGATATACACAATTAGTATAAAATGTGTAACACCAGATTAATGAGTTATGGATCCAGTAATATAATGGAGTTAAGTGTTTTTTAAAAAAGAAAAAAAAAGAAGCCATCTTTTCATAATGATAGTTTTTTTTTAAAAGGGGGGAGGTGTTGTGAATTTGGGTAGAGAACTTATGGATTGAGGCAGGAAGTTAGAACTTGGTGTTTGTTAAATGCTTGGGGGGAAAGCATTGTGTGGTCCCTTTAAAAGATCATGTGCTTTTTCTGTGCTTAGAGATTTAAAATGGATGTCTGTGAGCAGCAGCTTGAAAGTTTGGAAGTACACAGAAAGCAGCCAAATTGAAATATTTGTATCAAAAGGCCGTACAGTTAGCAGGTCAAACAGAAGTTTTTATCAAAACATGAATTTAGTCAATCAATTTGAACCAGGCACTTAGATATCAAAACCTATTAAATTTAAATCTGATGGTTTTGACAACGTAGGACCAATCCTATTGTAAGAAATATTGATATGTCATCAAGGGTATAAAAAGAAGGGGGGAGTTGGACACAGCCCCAGAGATAGCTGCTGCTACCAAGGCTAACAGCCCTCAGCTCTTAAGAGAGAATTGCTGGCTCTCACAGTCTTCTCTATGTCTTAGAAAAAGCACCATCTAAATAACAACAGTACAAGTGGCACAACTAGTTAATATTCCTGACAGATGAATCAATGAAGAAGACCTTCCTGACAGAAGAATGAACAGAGAAGGCACAGAACATTCCAGAAGGCACATAATCTGGCTGTAATTTTGATAGGCTAAATTCTATATTTTTAAACATATAAGTTAGACTTATATTTATTGGAACAGCATACCATTAGAATCTTGCTTTATTCAGGAACAGTTAGCAGTTAGAAGGGACTTATTCAGTTTGTTAATAGTTTAGTTAATTTGTTCACTATTAGAGTTAGATAAATAAATTGTTACTTGTTGAGTTTAAAGTGGGTGTCAGGGATTTATTTTATTTAACCACTAGAAGTTGCTGAAAGGCAGGGTACACCACTTTTCACACTTCTTTTACAGATTATAGGATGAGGTGCACCTCTTTGTGTGTTTTGGTGTTAGTTCTCAGTGAGTGTCAGCTTGCGCTTTATAACAATGGCTTCAGGGCAGAATCGAGATACCAGAATGTCTGTGGTCAATGTTAAGGAGAACAGGGAAGTTTATACTTGTGATGATACAGGAATGAAACAAATTCATGGTTTCATTTGTTCACTTACTTTTACATCTGAATGTAACCTCTTCACCCTCCAGCACTGTCTGGCTTTGAGGATAAATAAGAAAATCAGGTGGTGATTCTCTGGTCATTGATTTTTGTTCTGTAATCTTTCTGCTTTCTTCTTGCAATTTCCCAGCTCTTGTCTGTGAATGCTGTATAGTTCTACAACCTTCAACAAGCAGCTGTGGGGTAACTTTCTTACTTTCTTCCATCTGCCCTGCCGGGTCCTCATTTCTTTCAATGATTGCTGGTTCCTCTACCTTGTGTGACTGAAGTATGAAAGTACTCTTGGATTTCTGATTTGTTATAATACTTTGTGCTTTCTGTTGGGTAGGGCCTGTTGGAATGTTTTGGGTTTTCTGTTGAGCAGGAGGTCTTGTAAACATTTGAGCTTTCTCTTGGATGGAGGATGTAGTGATTTGAGATTTCTGTAGGGTGGAGGCTGGAGGAAGAGTTTGGGATTTCTGTAGGATGGAGGATGTAGTGGTTTGGGCTTTCTGTAGGGTGGGGGCTGGAGGAGTAGTTTGGGATTTCTGTACGATGGAGGATGCTGTGGTGATTTGGGATTTCTGTAGGGTGGGGGCTGGAGGAGTAGTTTGGGATTTCTGTACGCTGGAGGATGCTGTGGTAATTTGGGATTTCTGTAGGGTGGGGGCTGTTGTGATGATTTGGTTTTTGTGTTGTATTGGAATTTTCTTTATTTCTACTTTTGATTCATGATGTGTTGTAGCATTTAGAATCTTTTGTTGGAGTGTGACATTTTTTACTTCTGACTTCAGTTCTGGATGAGACTTGTTTTCTTCGATTCTTTTTTCCAGTTGCTCTTCAGTCTCTGGTTTCTGTTTCTCAGGGGCTGCTACAACATGTTTCACCACTTTCAAATTCTCCTTGGATTGTATAGTGACTGCACTAGCTCCTTCCTTTTCCATTTGGATGCTATTTGCAGTTGTCTGTTTAGTTTCCAGACGTTCAATAGTTTTGGCAGCATCGCTTCTTTGTTGCGCTGAAGAACTATTAATAAATAAAAAAAGTCTTGTTACTTAATTGATCTTTTCACACACAGATTAATTTACATTGTATCAAATTAATAAGGAACCGAAATTCAGCATCCCGACAGATATAGTATATACGGTACACTTATTTTACAACTGGATTCACAATGCTGTTTAAAGTGTATACTTACACTTCAGACATTGAACACGTACCTAAAAAGATAACAAAGAAAATTTGTTTGAATATAATTTGTTTGAAACAAACCTATATGCCTGTTTCACCTGTCAGGTTTATGTCACAGAATCATACTGTATAGAAGAGGTCTTTTAGCCCATCACCAAAAATATGCTACATATGCTACATTAGTCCCACTTCCCCACACTGAGCTACGCTCATCCATATACTTTTAGATGTTTTGCAGTGTCAACTACTCTCCCAGGCAGTGCATACCAGACTCCAACTACCCTCTGGGATTTTCCTCAAATCCCCCTAAACCGCTTGCCTCTCACTTTAAAAATTAAAAATTAAATGTTATTGACCCCTTGACTAAGAGGAACAGTTGCTTTCTATTCACTGTGTTCATGCCTCGTATAATCTTATTCAGCCCTATCAGGTGAATTTATAATGGCTTATTAAAAATGCCAATATGATTAGATAAAGTTTTCCAAAAATGCAAATATCTCTGAGATGCCGTTCTGACTTTCTGATAAACCCCTGCAGTGTGGAGGTTAGAATATGGGTAGTTCTTCTTTTCATAACAGGAGCTATTCAGAAGCAAGTATAGAGAAAGAGAGCTTCAAACTAAAACAAAGCACGCTGTAAATGAAATTGGCATACCAACTTTGGGAATTTAGATTAATGAAAAGGGCGTTTATAATTCAATTTTTAATCCCAGTAGGAAAGTCTCAATGGGGAAGATTTCTCCAAAATTATCAACATTATCTGCTGGGATTAAGAACATAAAGTAAATCAAAATGTCAATAAGACCAATTTTAATTTTAGATTAAAGAGGGAAGCTATGTCTGTTACAGTAATGTGTACCAGCTAGTGTTGCGCAAGATAACATACAAAATTATTTCAAACAACTATGAGAAAGAGTAGTATTTTGGATGTTCATGACTACAAAATTTGGGTTTGAAGTCAGAGCATCATTACAGAAGGCGGTCATTCGGCCCATCATATCCATACCAGCTTTCTGTGAAATCTACTGACTAGTCCCATTCCTTCACAATTTTCCTGTAGCTCTGCCATTTTTTCTATTTGATCATTTTCCAATTCTTTTTCAAAAGTACAATTGAATCTGCCTTTAACACACAGCCAGGCAGTGCATTCCAGATCCTAACCACACATTGCACTCAAAGCTTTTTTCCTCATGTCATCTCTGGTTCTTTTGTTGATAACTCTAAATATTTGCCTCACTTTTGCCTAAAAAGGCTGAGCACCAATTTTAAAACACTGTATCCCCTGGTTTGGACTCACCCATGACAGAAATTTCCACATCCACCTTGTCAAGATAAGGTCTTACCTCCCTCTTCTAAACTCCAGAGAGAACAAGCCTGCTCTTTCCAATCATTCCTCACAAGATAATCCACTCAATCCAGGTAAACATCCTCTGAACTGCCTCCATGCATTTACACACATCCTTAAATAAGGACACTAAAACTGCACACAGTATTCAAGAGATCATCTTGCCAATGTATAACTGAATACAACATCCTTTTTTTTACGTTTACTTCTAACAATAAATGAGAGCATTCCATTCATCTTAATTACATACTGTACCTGCATGCTAACTTCTGGTGACTCATGCACTAGAGTACCTGGATTCCTCTGCACTTCGGAATTCAGCAGTCACTCTCTGTTCAGGCAATAATGTTTTTTTTAATTCTTCTGGCCAAAGTTTAAACTTCACATTTTCCCACATTATACTCCACAGCCAGATTTTTGCACTCTCAACCTATCTTCATTGGTCTGCAATCTTGTTATGTCCTTTTCACAACATACTTCCTACCATGAGATAGTAGGAACTGCTGATGCTGGAGTCTGAGATAACAAGATGTAGAGATGGATGAACACAGCAGGCCAGGCAGCATCAGAGGAGCAGGAAAGCTGATGTTTCGGGTCTGGACCCTTCTTCAGAGAAAAAAA